TTTTCACTTCAGTGATTGAACTTTTCAACCCTAGAATTTCTTTTTTGAGACAGACTCTCGCTCTGTTGCCAAGCTGGAGTGCAGTGGCGCCATCTCAGCTCACTGCAACCTCCGCCTCCCGGGTTCAAGCGATTCTCCTGCCTCAGCCTCCCGAGTAGCTGGGACTATAGGCACCCACCACCATCCCCAGCTAATTTTTGTATTTTTAGTAGAGATGGGGTTTCACCATGTTGGCCAGGATGTTCTTGATCTCTTGACCTCGCGATCCGCCTGCCTTGGCCTCCCAAAGTGCTGGAATTACAGTTGTGAACCATTGCACCTGGCCCTTCAACCCTATAATTTCTATTTGGTTGCTTTTAATAATTTTTATCTCTTTAGTGATATGCCCTATTTGGTGAGACATTATTCTCTCATTTTCCTTTAGTTATTTAGGAATTGTTTCCTTTAGCGCTTTGAACATACTTAAAATAGCTGATTTAAAGTCTTTGCCTAGTAAGTCCAAATCTGCCCCAGCCATCCTACCCCTGAACAGTTTCTCTTGATTGCTTGCTTGTCCTCCATTGTATAGGCCATAGTTTTCCTTTCTTTGCATGCCTTATAACTTTTTTCTTCAAAACTGGCCATTTTTTATTTATTTATTATTATTATTATTTTTATTTTTTGAGACGGAGTCTCACTCTGTCACCCAGGCTTGAGTGCAGTGGCATGATCTTGACTCACTTCAACCTCTGCCTCCCAGGTTCAAGCAATTTTCCTGCCTCAGCCTCCCCAGTAACTGGGATTACAGATGTGTACCACCACACCTGTCTAATTTTTGGATTTTTAGTAGAGATGAGGTTTAAACATGTTGGCTGGGCTGGTCTCAAACTCCTGACTTCAGGTGATCCACCTGCCTCAGCCTCCCAAAGTGCTGAGATTACAGGTGTGAGCCACCGTGCCTAGCCTGAAAACTGGCCATTTAAAGTATCGTAATGTATCAGGGAGTAGTGGCTCACGCCTGTAATCCCAGCACTTTGGGAGGCCGAGTCAGGCAGATCACCTGAGGTCAGGAGTTCGAGACCAACCTGGCCAATATGGTGAAACCCCATCTCTACTAAAAGTACAAGAATTAGCCAGGCGTGGTGGCGGGCGCCTGTAATCCCAGCTACTGGGGAGGCTGAGGCAGGAGAATCACTTGAACCCGGGAGGCAGAGGTTGCCGTGAGCTGAGATCGTGCCACTGTACTCCAGCCTGGGGGACACAGGGATACTCTGTCTCTAAATAAATAAATAAATAAAATAATAAAGTATCATAATGTAGCAACCCTAGAAACAGATTCTCCCCACTCATAAGGATTTGTTGTTATTATTGCTTGTTGTAGTTGCTTTTTATTATTTTTACTTATTTATTTTTATTATTATTTGAGACAGGATCTTGCTCTGTTTCCCAGGCCACTGTATAGTGGCATGATTGTGGCTCACTACAGCCTCTAAATCCCGGGCTTAAGGGGTCCTCCTGCCTCAGCCTTCTGAGTAGCTGGGACTACAGGTGTGCACTACCAAGCTCAGATAATTTTATTATTATTATTCTTTTGAGACAGCGTCTTGCTCTGTTGCCCAGGCTGGAGTGCAGTGGCGCGATCTCAGCTCACTGCAAGCTCCGCCTCCCAGGTTCACGCCATTCTCCTGCCTCAGCCTCCCGAGTAGCTGGGACTACAGGTGCCTGCCACCATACCTGGCTAATTTTTTGTGTTTTTTAGCAGAGACAGGGTTCACCATGTTAGCCGGGATGGTCTCCATCTCCTGACCTTGTGATCCGCCCGCCTCGGCCTCCCAAAGTGCTGGGATTACAGGCATGAGATCGTCCCTGGCCCATTTTATTATTATTATTTATTTATTTATTTATTTATTTTTTGAGACGGAGTCTTGCTCTGTGGCCCAGGCTGGAGTGCCGTGGCCAGATCTCAGCTCACTGCAAGCTCCACCTCCCGGGTTTATGCCATTCTCCTGCCTCAGCCTCCCCAGTAGCTGGGACTACAGGCGCCCGCCATCTCACCCGGCTAGTTTTTTGTATTTTTTTTTTTTTTAGTAGAGACGGGGTTTCACCGGATTAGCCAGGATGGTCTCGATCTCCTGACCTCGTGATCCGCCCGTCTCAGCCTCCCAAAGTGCTGGGATTACAAGCTTGAGCTACCGCGCCCGGCCTATTATTTTTTTTTAAGGGATTAAGTTTTACTGTGTTGCTCAGGCTGGTCTTGAACTTCTGGGCTCAAGCAATCCTCCCACCTCATTCTCCCAAATTGTTGGAATTACAGGGGTGAGCTACTGCACCTGGCCTATAGTTGCTCTTTAAAAAAGAGACTTTTCTGAACTATTCCTGTAATATCTGTGTTCTTTGTCATGTTTGGCCACTGAAGTGTCTGTTCTCTGATTTTAGTGGTTAGCTAATGACTGGAGAGAGATTTCCTTAAACTGGAACAACAACAAAATCTTCTAGTCTTTGCCAAATGGCTCTGTGTACCTGATGAGGCACAACTTTAACACTCAGATAGACAATTTACAACTCTACCTTAGCCTTCCCTTCCTGCTGGTGCAGCGTTTCAAGGTTTCAAGGTCAGCCAGAGGTGAAAAGCTTGGGGCCTTCTCAAAACTTTCCCAAGCATGTACACAACCCTACATAGGCCAGTGGCTTTCTACCTTCCCAGGAACTTGTTGGAATATTTCAAAGCTTCAAAAGATATCTCCATCAGATTTTCCTTTTAAGATTTTTTGTTTTTTATTGCTTCCCCCAACTGTTATCCATTGCCTTTGGCAGTAGCAACATTAAAACAAGCGTACATTTTTTTTTTCTTTACAAATGTTCCCTCTCCCACTCTGTGTTAGTCCATTCTTGCATTGCTATAAAGGAATACTCGAGGCTGGGTATAAATAAAAGAGGTTTAATTGGCTTATGGTTCATAGGCTGATGAGCATGGTGCCCACATCTGCTCAGCTTTTGGTGAGGGCCTCATAGCAGAAGGTGATGGAGCCAGCATATCACCTGGCAAGAGCGGGAGCAAGGAGGTGCCACACAGGTGGTTTTTTTTTTTTTTTTTTTTTTTGAGATGGAGTCTCACTCTGCCACCCAGGCTGGAGTGCAGTGGCGTGATCTCGGCTCACTGCAACCTCCACCTCCTGAGTTCAAGTGATTCTCCTGCCTTAGCCTCCCGAGTAGCTGGGACTACAGGCATGCACCACTGTGCCCGGCTAATTTTTGTATCAGCAGAGACAGGGTTTCGCCATGTTGGCCAGGCTGGTCTTGAATTCCTGACCTCAAGTGATGTGCCCACTTTGGCCTCCAAGAGTGCTGGGATTGCAGGCATGAACCACTGCACTCAGCCTGGGTGTTGCATTTCTTTGTTGTTGTTTTTGAGACAGAATCTCAGCGTCATCCAGACTAGAGTGCAGTGGCACATTCCCAGCTCAGTGCAACCTCCACCTCCCAGGTTCAAGCGATTCTTCAACCTCAGCCTGCTGAGGAGCTGGGACTACAGGTGCACACCACCACACCCAGCTAATTTTTGTGGGTTTTTTTTTGTAGACATGGGGTCTCACCATGTTGTCCAGGCTGGTCTCAAATTCCTTAGCTCAAGCAATCCTTCTGCCTCAGCCTCCCAAAGTGCTGGGATTACAGGTGTGAGCCACTGTGCCTGGCAAGGGATTACATTTTAACATGAGATTTGGAGAGGAAAAACATCCAAATCTTTCCTTCAACCATCAGAGATATTTTCAGGGATTTGCCAGTTCTGAAAAGGAAAGACAACTATTCTGTGTGGGGTCTTCCCAGGCATCACTTAACAATCATAGAATGGGCTGGGCACGGTGGCTCACGCCTGTAATCCCAGCACTTTGGGAGGCCGAGGCGGGTGGATCACGAGGTCAGGAGATCGAGACCATCCTGGCTAATATGGTGAAACCCCGTCTCTACTAAAAATACAAAAAATTAGCCGGGCATGATGGCGGGTCCCTGTACAGTCCCAGCTACTTCGGAGGCTGAGGCAGGAGAAGGGCGTGATCCCGGGAGGCGGAGCTTGCAGTGAGCCGAGATCGCGCCACTGCATGACAGAGCGAGACTCCATCTCAAAAAAAAAAAAAAAAAAAAAAATCATACAATGACTCTTCTTTGGGTAATAAGGCTTTGAATGAGTTCTAGCTTCATTCTGCTTCCTCCCTGTGGGAAATGTGGGCTGTTACTTTCCAGGGTTCCTGCTGAGCTAGGGAGTGGAAGATAGGACTAGGATAAGTTAAAATTCCTCAAGTCTTGATGTTTTTATAGAGAGTCACTTTTCTTGAATAAATGCTCCTTGAGTTTCTGCAAGCCTTTGGTTAATTTCCAGAATTGTGAAAAAACTGATTTTTTTTTTTCAAAGCCCATGTTTTGTTAGTTTTTCATTGTTTTTATGGAGGGGTGGAATTTTTGAATTCTTTTTTTTTTTTTTTTTTTTTTTTTTTTTTGAGACGGAGTCTTGCTCTGTCGCCCAGGCTAGAGTGCAGTGCCGCATCTCTGCTCACTGCAAGCTCCGCCTCCCGGGTTCACGCCATTCTCCTGCCTCAGCCTCCTAAGTAGCTGAGACTACAGGCGCCTGTCATCATACCTGGCGAATTTTTTTTTTTTTTTTCCAGTAGAGACGGGGTTTCACTGTGTTAGCCAGGATAGTCTCCATCTCCTGACCTGGTGATCCGCCCGCCTCGGCCTCCCAAAGTGCTGGGATTACAGGCGTGAGCCACCGCACCCGGCCTTTTTTTTTTTTTTTTTTTTTTTTTTTGTGAGATGGAGTCTCACTCTGTCGCCCAGGCTGGAGTGCAATGGCGCCATCTAGGCTCTCTGCAACCTCTGCCTCCCGGATTCAAGGGATTCTCCTGTGTCAATCCGTCTCCCAGGTAGCAGGGATTACAAGTGCCAGCCACCACGCCTGGCTAAGTTTTGTATTTTTAGTAGAGATGGGGTTTCACCACGTTGGCCAGGCTGTTCTCAAACTCCTAACCTCAAGTGATCCACCCACCTTGGCCTCCCAAAGTGCTGGGATTACAGGTGTGAGCCACTGTGCCCGGCCTGAATTCTTTAATCCACCATTTTGTTGATGTCAGCTGGATACAATTTTTTTTTTTTTTTTTTTTTTTTGAGGCGGAGTCTCTGTCGCCCGGGCCGGAGTGCAGTGGCGCGATCTCGGCTCACTGCAAGCTCCGCCTCCTGGATACAATATTTCTTACCACACTTCTTCCCCAGAGCAATCATGCAAGAAATGTGTTGCTGCCCCCATCTTACAAGGGAGGAAACTTGTTCTCTCTTTCTTTTGTGAATTAGTTCAGCAACCATGAGAGAAATCAAGAGAGCTGTGGTTTTTTTGCACATAAAAGACTTGATAAGCATAGTAGCTCTGCTCTTCAAATGCAGCAGGTTACAGGCATCTATGTTCTGGTTGTTCGGCCATTTCTAGACAGTTGCTCTCACCACTGCCTTCCAGCCATTCAGCAGGAGGAACAGGGGAAGAGATCATGCCTGTCTTTTCCACACATCCACCAGTGCCCACTTCCCTTCCACTGGCTGGAATTGGTCATAACCAGCTGGCAAATGGCTCTCTGCCTCTCTTTCCCTTCAAGTGTGAAATAAGAACGTCAATGATATTGAAGTTATACATTTGACTACTGTAAAAAAACAAACAAACAAAAAAACCCACAAAATAACACAGCTTGAATAACACAGAAGATGTAATGTCTCACCCTGAAAGTCTTCACAGGTGATTGGAATGGAGTATGGTGGCTCCATGTCAAGGATTCAGGCTCCTTCTGTCTCGTTGTGTCCTCTATCTGCTGGTCCAAGACAGCCCTCATTTGTGCATTCCAGTGAAATGAGAGAAAAAGGGAAAGTTCTTATTCCTTCCTTTAAGGGATGACTCAGAAATTGACTATAATTCTGCACAGTCCAAGTAATGATGTAGGCAAAAAAAAAAGAGAGAGAGAGAGAGAGAGAAAGGAGGCTGGGTGCAGTGGCTCAATCCTGTAAGACCAACAGTTTTGGAGGCTGACACAAAAGGATCACTTGAGCCCAGGAGTTTGAGGCCAACTTGGGTAACATAGTGAGAACCCATCTATACCAAACATTTTAAAATTTTGCTGGGCATGGTAGCAAGCACCTGTAGTCTTAGCTACTTGGGAGGCTGACGCAGGAGGATCATTTGAGCCCAGCAGTTGGTGAGCTATGATAGTATCACTCCACACCAGCCAGGGTAATAATGAGAGACCCCCCGACCTCTCCCCAAAATAAATTGACTATATTATTTCCACTCACATTCCATTGGACAGACCTTAGTCACATGGCCACATCTAGCTGCAAGGGAACCTGGGAAATGTAGTCTCTGATTGGACAGTCCTATGCCAGGCTAAGGCTTCTGTAACTGTCCAAGCTGGGAGAATGGATCCTACCACATGCATCCCTCCTGAACCACAGATTGGCAGGAGTCACACAACATTTTATGTGATATAAAGTAATGATGACCAGAGGCCACATGGTGTCATGGTTTAAAACAAGGGTTCTGAATCTAGATTCTGATGAGGTCACCTAATGTGCTGAGTACCTGGGAAGACAAGGGATAGCCCATTTCTGAGACACATTTGTCTCACTTGTAAAATAGGCCAAATAACCTCAAGAGGTGTGGTTGTGAAGAATAAAAGACAAGTGCTTGGTGCATTGCAAGTGCTCAGATCTGAAAAGTGTCTTCCTGGTCAGGCACGGTGGCTCACGCCTGTAATCCCAGCATTTTGGGAGGCCGAGATGGGCGGATCACAAGGTCAGGAGATCGAGACCATCCTGGCTAACACAGTGAAACCTCATCTCTACTAAAAATACAAAAAATTAGCCAGGCATGGTGGCGGGTGCCTGTAGTCCCAGCTACTCAGGAGGCTGAGGCAGGAGAATGGCATGAACCCGGGAGGCGGGGGTTGCAGTGAGCCGAGATCGTGCCATTGCACTCCAGCCTGGGTGACAGAGCTAGACTCCGTCTCAAAAAACAAAACAAAACAAAACAAACAAAAAAAAAAACGAAAATAAAATAAAAGTGGCTTCCTTTGTAATTCACCATTTCCTGGAGAGAGAGCCAGGGCATGTGTTTTCAAAGTTCATCTTTTTATGCTGTGGACCCCAAGGACTTTTTTTTTTTTTTTAAGAGACTTGCTCTGTCACCCAGACTGGAGTGTGGTGGTGCAATCTCAGCTCACTGCAGCCCCTGTTTCCCAGGTCGAAGCAATTCTCCAGCCTCAGCCTCCCAAGTAGCTGGGATTAAAGGCATGCACCACCATGCCCGGCTAATTTTTGTATTTTTAGTAGAGTTGGGGTTTCACCATGTTGGCTAAGTTGGTCTTGAACTCCTGACCTCAAGTGATCTACCCACCTCGGTCTCCCAAAGTGCTGGGATGACCAGAGTGAGCCACGGCACCTGGCCCCCAAAGACATTTAGCTCAGTGTTTGGTTGAGTTCATCCTTCTTCCTCCACGTGTCTGCACACCCCACCTCCATCCCCTATTCCCTCCTGGATCCTATTTTCTCCCAGCCCACCATGAAGAAAGGTCATTTATCCCCTGGGTTTGCTGCACAGGAATGCTAAGAATCAGAGGTATAGCTCTTGGCTCCAAGTCACACAGCCATTCCAGGGCAAAATCAAGGTGTAAACACAGCCTCCCAGTTCTGGAATTTTTCTTGGGCTTGGGGCTTGCACCCACACACCATATAACTCACCTGTCTCCCATTCTTCCCCAGAGTGGGGTCAACAGTGGATTGGTCCGCGCCAAAGACTCCATCACCAGCTTGAAGGAAAAGACCACCCGGGTTAACCAGCACGTGCAGACTCTGCAGGTGTGAGGACACCCTATGTCCAACACCTGCCCTTTCTCCAGGGCTAACTTCCCTGCTTGGAGCCTGCCTCCAGTGGAACACACCCATAGCTCAGTTGGGGAGCTTGAGACTCAGAAGGGAAAGGAACCTTCCCAGGCCCAGATATTCTTTTCCACAGGCTGTCCCCTTGTGTCCTTGGCTAACCTCTCCTCCTTCCATGCTCCAGAGTGAGTGTTCTGTGCTGAGCGAGAATCTGGAGAGAAGGCGGCAAGAGGCAGAAGAGTTGGAGGGGTACTGCATTCAACTCAAGGTGAGCCAGTGGGATGCAGGAGTGGGTGGGGAGAGGGGAATGGGAATAAGAGGGTGGAAGAAAGAGGGGAGGAGGCTGGGCGCAGTGGCTCACATCTGTAATCCCAGCACTTCAGGAGGCCGAGGCGGGCAGATCGCCTGAGGTCAGGAGTTTGAGACCAGCCTGGCCAACATGGTGAAACCCCATCTCTACTAAAAATACAAAAACTAGCCAGGTGTGGTGGCGCACACCTGTAATCCCAGCTACTCGGTTTAGGGAGGAGAATCACTTGAATCCAGGAGGTGGAGGTTGCAGTGAGCCAAGATTGCACCACTGTACTCCAGCCTGGGTGCTGGAGCAATACAGTCTCAAAAGAAAAAAAAAAGAAAGAGGGGAAGAATGGAGTGGGTGGATCAACAAGAGGTGGGAGGAAGTGGAGGGATACCACTCTGGCACGTCTGGCTAAGGAGGAAGCCATCCCTTTAGCCAAGGAAATGAGCTGGTGAGTGTGTCTTTTTTTTTTTTTTTTGAGATGGAGTCTCTCTCTGTCGCCCAGGCTGGAGTGCAGTGGCCGGATCTCAGCTTACTGCAAGCTCCGCCTCCCGGGTCTAGGCCATTCTCCTGCCTCAGCCTCCAGAGTAGCTGGGACTACAGGCGCCCGCCACCTCGCCCGGCTAGTTTTTTGTATTTTTTAGTAGAGACGGGGTTTCACCATGTTAGCCAGGATGGTCTCGATCTCCTGACCTCGTGATCTGCCCGTCTTGGCCTCCCAAAGTGCTGGGATTACAGGCTTGAGCCACCGCGCCTGGCCGAGTGTGTCTTGTATTGAGGGGCTGGGAGGCCTGGAGCCTGTATGGAAATAGACAGGCTAAGGGTTGGGAGGCAGAACTGAAATGGGAAGGCAGGGCCCTCGCCCTGGTGTCTGACCCAGGAGAACTGCTGGAAGGTGACCCGGTCTGTGGAAGATGCTGAAATCAAAACCAACGTCTTGAAGCAGAATTCTGCCTTGCTGGAGGTAAGGAATGGAGGAGGTCCCAGGATTTGTGGGAGGACGTCAGATGCGCGAGGGACTCAAGATACACTTTTAGGTGGAACTCCCCGCCCCAACACCACCACCACACTGCTCCTGCGTGCACACAGTCATCCTTAGAACCCACTGATAAGAGGGATTCAAATGAGGCTCCAACACCCAGCTGGGGGACTCTTACCCTGCAGTCACATTCAGGTCCCAGAAAGAGACTCGAGCTGGACTTCAAGTGAGAAGGCCTGTCCTGTCCACATGCCCACTCATTTTCCAACAAAATGCTGAGAAAGCTTCAGTTGTTCTTGCCAAGTGGCCGGGACTGGTATTTGACGCCTGGAAGGCTTGGAGGGCCGGGTGGATACCTGGAGGCAGGCTGTGGGAGGTTAGCGGGAATTGGAGTCCAACTGGGCCTCAAATGGTGCCTCCCCTCCCTAATGACAGCCAGTGGGACTTCCAACATCCTGTCCCCACAGGCGTTCTACTTCCAATCTTGGGGAGTACTGGAGCGGATTTGGGGGTAGAGGTGGTTGTGGGAGGAAAGCGGCTGGACGCTGTGACCCCGTCCCGTCCTCCCTTACCGACCAGGAGAAGCTGCGCTACCTCCAGCAGCAGCTGCAGGATGAGACGCCGCGACGGCAGGAGACCGAGCAGCAGGAGCCGGAGCAGCAGCAGCAGAAGCCGGAGGCTGGCCTTTCCCGGAACGGCCTGGGCCCCGCCGCCACGTCCCAGGGCTGCCCCGGCCCGCCAGGGAGTCCTGACAAACCCTCGCGGCCTCGCGGCCTGGTCCCCGCAGGCTGGGGAATGGGGCCTCGGGCAGGTGAGGGCCCCTACGTGAGCGAGCAGGAATTGCAGAAGGTGTTCACCGGCATCGAGGAGCTGAGGTGGGCGGGACCTAGGGGCGGGGCCTCGAAACGAGGTGGGCGGGGACTCAGGGGTGGAGCCTCGAGGAGCTGCGGTGGGCGGGACCCAAGGGACGGGGTTCTCAAGGAGAGGCATGGGTGGGGACTCAGGGAGCCTCGTGGAGCTGAGGTGGGAGGTGATATCGGTGGAGCCTCGAGAACCTGAGGTGGGAGGGGACATGGGAGGAGCCTCGAGGAACGAAGGTGGGCAGAGTCGTGGGCAGAGTCTCCAGGAGCTGCAGTGGGCGGGGACACAGCGGAGGAGCCTCAAAGATTCTAACCGGAGGACGACAAGCCTGGGGTCTCCAAGAGCAGAGGAGGGAGTGCCCCGAAGGCAGTGACCTGAGCAAGGGAGGGACAAAATAATGAATTTTTGAGTTCTGGGCTGCTGGGAGGCAGGTCCAGGCCTGGTGAAACTGAGGTGGGCGGGGCTTGGGAGAGGAGCGGTCCTGGAGGTACCAAGTGGGGCAGAGTAGGGTGGACAGTGCCTTGGGGGGCAGTGTGTGGAGGAGCTGAGGTAGAGGTTGGGGACCTGACCAGGGAAGGGCCAAGACAGCCAGTAAAGTAAGGGGATAAAGGCGGGGCTCTGGAAGACAGGACCAAATTTCACCAAATGGAGAGTGCAAGAAAATTTGGAGACCTGGGTGGGTCTGGAGCCACCGGCATGGTCTCAGTGGGGCGAGATAGGTGAGTCCTGTTCCGCCTATCTTGTGGGGGCAGATGGGGACCTGTCCAAGCCTAGCCCCGACCCATTCCCCCTCTCTGCCCCTCCAGGAGAGAGGTGTCCTCGCTGACCGCCCGGTGGCATCAGGAGGAGGGGGCGGTGCAGGAAGCCCTGCGACTGCTCGGGGGCCTGGGCGGCAGGGTCGACGGCTTCCTGGGCCAGTGGGAGCGGGCACAGCGCGAGCAGGCACAGACGGCGCGGGGCTTGCAGGAGCTGCGAGGTCGGGCGGACGAGCTGTGTACGATGTAAGGACTGGGTGGCCAGTGCTTGGGAAGACCGGAAGGGGCAGGGCGATCCCAACCCAAGGGCGGGGCCTTGAGGGAAATGGGTAGGCCAATCAGCTATGGCCAGGCATTCCGGAACATATAGCGACATGGGAAACACCAATTAGAGAGCAGGAAGGGTTGCATCAACCCTAATAAGGCCTGAGGGGTGGAATCAATTAGAGAAGGGGTGTGGTCTATACCTTAAAAGGACAAAGGGTGGGGTCAAGAGGGATCCGAGAAAGCCAATTAGAGAACTAGGAGGGGCATTCCAAACAATAATCTACAAAAGGTGGCCCAGTGAGGTGGCTCAGGTCTATAATCCCAGCACTTTGGGAGGCCGAGGCGGGCGGATTACTTGAGGCCAGGAGTGCAAGACCAGCCTGGGCAACATAGCGGAGACCCTATCTCTACAAACAATTTAAAAATTAGCTGGGAGTGGTGTGGTGTCGCACCATGGTAGTCCTAGCCACTCGGGAGGCTGAGGCAGGAGTGACCGCTTGAGCCCAGGAGTTCAAGGCTTCGGAGAGCTATGATGGTGATGCTGCACTCCAGCCTGGGCAACAGAGCCAGACCCTGGCTCAAAATAGTCAATAGATAAATAAACTACCATAACATAAAATAAAATACAAAAAGTGAGGCCAGTCAGAGCAGAGAGGGGAGGGCAGGGTGGAGAATTGCAGACCAGATGGAGACATAAGTGGTGGACTAATAATGGGTGGAGTCTTGCCAGGGTTATACCGCTCAAGAGGGAGCTGGCAGCACTGGTTACTCATGCCTCAGGGTGGAGCGGTCAGCAGTGTCTGTGGCTTCACTGAGGAGCGAACTGGAGGGGCTGGGCCCACTGAAACCCATTCTGGAGGAGTTCGGGCGGCAATTTCAGAACTCTCGAAGAGGGCCTGACCTCTCCATGAACCTGGATCGGTCCCAACAAGGCAACTGTGCCCGCTGTGCCAGGTAATGGGGCTAGGCCTGCCTCTGGGAGCCTTGTGGATAGAACATTAAAGGAGATGCGGAAGGAGATGGGACATTAGTGAAGGGTGGGACGCTATTCATTTGGGAGACAAGGCATTCCAGTGCATGGTAGAAACAGCCAGTCCTGCTGCACTAGAAGCCTCATTTGTTCCCACTCTACAAGGTAAAATCAGTGTCTTGTGGAACTCAAGAGAAACTTGGTATAGACCGGGCGCGGTGACTCATGCCTGTAATACCAGCACTTCGGGAGACCAAGGTGGGTGGATCACTGGGTATCAGGAGTTCGAGACCAGCCTGGCCAATGTGGTGAAACCCCGTATCTACCAAAAATACAAAAATTAGCTGGGCGTGGTGGCGTGTGCCTGTAATCCCAGCTACTGAGGAAGTTGGGGCATGAAAATTACTTGAACCCGGGAGGCGGAGGTTGCAGTGAGCTGAGATCACGACAATGCACTCCACCCTGGTAGGCAGAGTGAAACTGTGTATCACAAAAAAAAAAAAAAAAAAAGGAAAAAGGCTGGATGCAGTGGCTCACACCTATAATCCCAGCACTTTGGGAGGCCAAGACAGGCAGATCACTGAGGTCAGGAGTTTGAGACCAGCCTGGCCAACATAGTGAAACCTCGTCTCTACTACAAACACAAAAATTAGCTGGGCGTAGTGGTGAACGCTTGTAATCCCAGCCACTCGGGAGGCTGAGGCGGGAGAATCTCTTGAACCTGGGAAGTGGAGGTTGCGGTGAGCCAAGATCGCGCCATTGCACGCCAGCCTGGGCGACAGCAAGACTCCATCTCAAAAAAAAAAGAAAAGAACTTGGTACATTTTGAGCATCGTATTTCCAGTGCATTGAGGGAAGGCTGGGATGTGAACATGAGGGGAGGCAGGATTTCAGTGCACTGTGGGGGAAGTGAGACCTTGGTGTATTGTGGGAGCCAAGGGATGCACCATTTTTGGTCCATTATGGGAAGGTCCATTGTAGGAAAGGGGGACTCACAATACAACATGAAATCGAGTTTCACTAGTGCATTATGGGAAGCGTTAGTTATAACGGCCTTTCTAAACTCAGGGCTGTCTGGTGTCCTTAGGAATGGTGATTCCGGCCGGGCGTGGTGGCTTACGCCTGTAATCCCAGCACTTTGGGAGGCCAAGTGGGAGGATCACCAGAGGTCAGGAGTTTAAGACCGGACTGGCCAACATGGTGACAACTCATATCCACTAAAAACACAAAAATTAGCTAGGTGTGGTGGCGGGTGCCTGCAATCCCAGCTACTCAGGAGGCTGAGGCAGGAGAATCGCTGAACCCAGGAGGCAGAGGTTGCAGTGAGCCCAGATCATGCCACTGTACTCCAGCCTGGATGACAGAGCAAGACTCCATCTCAGGCCGGGCGCGGTGGCTCAAGCCTGTAATCCCAGCACTTTGGGAGGCCGAGGCGGGCGGATCACGAGGTCAGGAGATCGAGACCATCCTGGCTGACACGGTGAAACCCCGTCTCTACTAAAAAATACAAAAAAAAAACTAGCCGGGCGAGGTAGCGGGCGCCTGTAGTCCCAGCTACTGGGGAGGCTGAGGCAGGAGAATTGCGTGAACCCGGGAGGCGGAGCCTGCAGTGAGCTGAGATCCGGCCACTGCACTCCAGCCTGGGCGGCAGAGCAAGACTCTGTCTCAAAAAAAAAAAAAAAAAAAAAAAAAAAGACTCCATCTCAAAAAAAAACCAAAAAAGGTCCAGGCCCAGTGGCTCACGCCTGTAATCCCAGCACTTTGGGAGGCTGAGGTGGGGAGATCATGAGGTCAGGAGATCAAGACCATCCTGGCCAACATGGTGAAACCCTGTCTCTACTAAAAATACAAAAATTAGCTGGGTGTGGCGGCACATGCCTGTAGTCCCAGCTACTTGGGAGGCTGAGGCAGAAGAATCGCTTGAACCCGGGAGGCGGAGGTTGCAGTGAGCCAAAATCGCGCCACTGCACTCCAGCCTAGGTGACAGAGCAAGACTTCGTCTTAAAAACAACAAAAAAGAGTGGTGATCCCCAGAGCACCATGGAAACCAAGGGACAGCTGGTGCACAGTCCATGCTGGGAAGGTTGCATAGGGTGCATACTGGAAACAAGGCCAAATGGAGGCTGTGCAGGTGAGCATGGGGCACCCTGGACTTGGTACTGGACCTCTTTATCTGGTGACCACCCCTCCCCCAGCCAGGGGTCGCAGTTGTCCACGGAGTCCCTGCAGCAGCTGCTGGACCGAGCGCTGATCCCGCTAGTGGATGAGGTGAAGCAGAGGGGCCTGACTCCTGCCTGTCCCAGCTGTCAGAGGCTACACAAGAAGATTCTGGTACCAGGGAATATGGGCCACCATGTCCCACTTTACTTTTCTGTTGGGGCAAGGAGAGGGGAGCCCCGGACTCAAGGGTACTGCTGGTGTGTGGCAGGAAAGGAAGGGCAGAGCTGGGAGCAGCAGGCACTGGGGGAGGACTTGGCCCTGATGCATGGGGAGACGGACAAGCAGTTTGGTGGTGAGTGAGTCACAGGCCAATCATTACGAAACCTTGGAAGGTGGACTTGGGCCTAAAGCATGATGGGACATTGGATCTAGTGCACTGTGGGACACGAGACAGATACCAGTCTAAAGCTTCATGGAATATAGGCCTGATTTTCTCTAAATTTTTAGAGAGGCAGTGCATTGCACGAGATCATTGGGGTCAGCTATATTGAGGTAAGATAGGAGACCCAGTGACTGTAGGTCCCAGTTAGCTGGTGCGTTATGGGAAATGGAACCACAGCTCTTCCTGGGGCATTGCACAACACACTCAGCCCAGTAGTTGGTGGAACTTGAGCCCTAGTGCACTGTATTATGGGATGTTGACCTAATGTGCTATGGGATTATGTTGTAGTGGGTGAGACAGACAAGTGAGGCATTGTGAGACATTGATGTGACAGCTATACGAATAATACATGAGAGGACGTGGGGCTTGGTGCAGTTGGACATAGAGAACTAGGGCACTAAGGACTGTTTTTTGTTTGCTTTTTTTGTTGTTGTTGTTGTTTGTTTGTTTTGTTTTTGAGACGGCATCTCGCTCTGTCGCCCAGGCTGGAGTGCAGTGGTGCAATCTCAGCTCACTGCAAGCCCCGCCTCCTGGGTTCACGCCATTCTCCTGCCTCATCCTCCTGAGTAGCTGGGACTACAGGCGCCTGCCACTACGCCTGGCTAGTTTTTTGTATTTTTAGTGGAGACGGGGTTTCCCTGTGTTAGCCAGGATGGTCTCGATCATCTGACCTCATGATCCGCCCGCCTCAGCCTCCCAAAGTGCTGGGATTACAGGCATGAGCCACCGTGCCTGGCCTTTTTTTTTTTTTTTTTTTTTTTTTTGACACAGAGTCTCACTCTGTTGCCCCAGGCTGGAGTGCAGTGGCACCGTCTTGGCTCATTGCAACCTCCACGTCCCAGGTCCAAGAGATTCTCATGTCTCAGCCTCCTGAGCAGCCAGGATTACAGGCATATGCCACCACACCCGGCTAATATTTGTACTTTTAGTAGAGACGGGGTTTCACCCTGTTGGCTAGGCTGGTCTCAAACTCTTGACCAAAGTGCTGGGATTACAGGTGTGAGCCACTGCACCCAGCCAGGACTTTTGTGTGAGAGGTGCTGGTCTAATGGATAAGGAGATGTGGGGTCTTCTAACTTATGGGATGTAGGAGGCTACCATATGGTAGGATACTGGGGCACATACACATATCAAATGTAGGATAGTTCATGAGCTTAGGAGACAGATGATAGACACTGATTTAGTGTTTGCTGGGACATAGGTCAGTGCATCATGGGACAGACAATAGGACAGACATAGGTTTAGTCCACAACGGAATCTGGAGACCAGTGCATTGTGGGATGCTGGGGTCAGTCTCAAGCTCAAGGCATGATGGGAAACTCTGAGGGAGAAATGTGGGCCCCATGGGACCCTACGCTTTGCCCTCCGCAATCCAGCTCCCCCTCCACCCCCAGCCCAGTCCAGCAAGCCCAGCTACGCCTACGCTCCTCTCCCCAGGAGCTGGAGCGCCAGGCCTTAGCCAAACACGTCAGGGCAGAGGCCCTGAGCTCCACCCTTCGGCTGGCCCAAGACGAGGCCCTGCGGGCCAAGAATCTACTGCTGACAGACAAGATGAAGCCGGAGTGAGGAAGGAGGCTGAGGGCATGGGAGGAGGGTGAGATCTTGGGGAAAGGGCCTGATCTCCCCTTCCACTCGAACACCCCAGCACCTAGCCATGTTGCCATCAACTCCCCACTGGCTCATGACAGGGAGAAGATGGCCACTCTGGACCATCTACATTTGAAGACGTGCTCCCTCCACGATCATCTCAGCAACCTGCCACTTGAGGGGTCCACAGGAACAATGGGGGGAGGCAGCAGTGCG